CCTTTAAAGCTAACAAAGCTATAGAGTATACACATGGAAAGCCAGATGGCTTGAACAAGTTGAAATTTTATTACAACATTAATGCAACGGATGCTGAAAAAGAAAAACTTGGTGTAGCTTTAATTCAAATAAGAGTTTTTTCGCCTGGTCAGTAAAATTGTTCGATAACTATATAGATAGGATAATTATATTTGAACCAGCATACCTTTTAGTAAGATTATTTTCGTATAGATAGATAGATGGTCATTTTTTTACATGGTTTCTGACTATTTCAATTATCCAAAGAATAGATTGTCAAAATTGCTAATGTTTTGATATATTTTAAATAGACTTGTTGGATGTCAGTGAGATGGACAAAGCTGTTCGATCACGTATCAACCTTCAATGGGATTTTATGTCAGGAATAATAGGCTATATTTCATTAGTAGGATTTTTACACATAATTATTGATTGTTTTCCAGTTATTCATATTATTTATATTATTTATTCTCTAACACTTCTTTTAGATCAAGTTCAAGACAAGTATATATAAAAGTATACCACCTCGGGATGCTTCTGCCATCATTGGATTTGAGCCCAACTATGCAACTACTCCGAGAATTGATTGCACAATCAGTCAATTTCCCTTTAACCAGAATCCATTATCTGTACCAAATGGAACCAATGGTTATTTTTCAGTTGCTGCTGGGGATTTTGTACAGGAAGAAATTTCTGAAAGGCGGTAAGTTAACAGTAGAGTTTAAACAGAGTATTATTGTAAACATCACTATGAATACAATTTATTTATCTTATGAACCATAATATAGCACAAGTACTATTCTAAGTAGCATTGCATCAGCTGGTGGTGCCTTTGGTTAGTATATTTAAATTGCATACCTTAACAAGTTAGAAGTTGTGTAAATCTTTTTTTTTTTTGGTGACTAATAGGTCTTATCGGAAGCATCCTTGTGTGGTTGTATGGATCCAGCAGTTTTGATGAGTGGGGATTTGCAAGAAGAATGTTAGATAATCCATGGTATTGGGTAGATAAATTGAAAGGGGGTTATGAAAGTTTGAACATTTTTCAAACTTCTTCAAAAACATTGACAGCTAACGATCATGAGCATGGTAGTTATTTTGTTATTAAAACGATTAATAAGCTTGTTACTAATTAATTTCCACTGATTATTACTAACAATAATTTTGATTAATAAATAAACATTAGGTTCTGGTAGTAATGATGATGAAAAGATTTAATCTCAAAAGTTAAATCATAATTATGTTTTGAAAAATAATAAACTTTTTAAATCTTGTTCTAGAAAGAATGATATTTTGACAAACATTTTTCTTTTTTTTTCTATTATTACTGCTAACTAACTTAATCAATCAATATTCATATTAATATTATAAAACTTCCATAATTATTACACAGTAATTTGATAATAATTATAAAAAGCTTTTCCACAAAAAGTTTCATTTGAATTATGTATAGGTCTACACTAAAATTAGTTGACCCTGGAACATAAAATATGTTAGTTATTCATTCCTAATCTATCCCGATCATGTATCACGCTATTAATATTAATATGAGAAATCTTTGAATTTAGTAGTAAATGAGTGTGTGGGAACTGAATTTGTATTCAGTAAAGAATAACCTAGCTTCTTGGGAGCAACTTATGAAACAAAGGAAAGAGATTGGGACACGCGCACAAGGAAATATAAAAATAAAGAACATACAGTACCTGGACAAAAGTATCGGAACACTTGCTTTTGTTGATTGCGCAAAAATATACATAATAAATATGTATGAAATTTATATCTTTTGCGGTTTAGGTTCTTGTGAATATCTATGCAAAATCCCATGCATCCAAGTTTCGCAGAACTCGAATAAATATATAAAAATGAAATTTGATTAAATTTTGACATGTTTATAGAAATTGTCCAAGAACCTACATAGTAATATGTTTTGGAAATTTTGTATATGAAAACCCAAGTTTGATGATTCCGAAAAATTATTTTTTATTACATATTTTTTAAGAACTTTTTTTAAAAAAAGGTTTCAAAATTTTAAATTTCAAAAAAAAAAAAGTCTAATTTAACTGAAGCTCAACACGGACAAATATAAAAGTGGAGCCTCATATAGAATTATTTTTAAAATACTTGGCTTCCACCACAACAATATATCGTATTAGAAGTCGTCCAACAATCTAAGAAATCTTAAACTTGAGGCTACTTTAAAAGAGGAATGGAATAAAATTCCTCAAAATTTTTTAATGAATTTGATTGAAAGCATGCCTAGTAGAATTCAGGCTTGTACAAAGAGCAAAGGATACCCAACTAAATATTAAAAATGTTAAAATTTTAAATTAAAAATTATTACATAGAATTTGAGAATAAAATAAAAAATTTCGCGTCAGAGATTTAGTGATCGTCAAAGAAAAATTTAATCAAATTTCATTTTTATATATTTATTCGAGTTCTACGGAACCTAGATACATGGGATTTTCCATAGATATTCATAAGAACCTAAACCGCAAATGATATAAATTTCATATATGTTTATTATGTATATTTTTGCGCAATCAACAAAAGCAAGTGTTCCGATACTTTTGTCCAGGTACTGTATATAACATTCAGAAAAGGTGATGATAAATCAAATAAATGAAGAAAATTTTATTATGTAATGTATTTATTTAATAATAGTTATTAAAAATTCATTATCAGGATTGATTAGTTATTAATTGGCAAATGAATATTAATATCATATAGTGATTGATGGGGGAAATCAACAAAAAAAATTTTTTGTCTTGCAAGAAGATAATTTTTTTTGTGTATACAAATAAAATAAATCTCCAAGAACATATTTATGTGTTTTTATTGCCTTTAATTATGTAAAGGAAAAAGTTTTCTATGTTGCATTGATTTTTGGAGTTTTTGTATTATTCTTACGTTATTATATATATATTAATTTTTATAAATAAAGAAAATGCTCTTGCACTTGTATTAGAGGTTCTGATCAAAAATAAAAGTACATTTGAATATTCATAATTATTATTGCTCAATATTCAAATATTTGAAATGTCAAGATATTTATGACTATTATTATTTTATCAACATTTTGACAGATTGTCAATTAAAACATTAATTAAGTGTTTATTTGGATTAAACAAAAGTCAGTTACTAATGAAAATAAGCCAAATATTAAAAATGTTGCTTTAGACCACCTCAGCTTTAATTTTTTGATGTATGCTTTTTATAACAAGCCTTTTTGACTAGAATAAAATATTTACCCCAGATTAATTTAAACACTTCGCACATTTTCATTAATTTCATTACTATTAGGAGTATCTCGGCTTTCTTTTTCCGGTGTTTAATATTTTCCTTTCTTCTTACTTGGCTTCATAGATAATTTTCTCTTTCCTTAAATGTAGAGTATTGGTTAATTTAAATCCATAAGGGCAATTTTCTCCTTTATTAAAATACCTTTAATAAGGTTCTATGGTAAATTAATTTCTTATTTGTTGTAGATTATATTAGGATAATTATTTAGAAAACATAAAAAATATCTGCAAGTATATTCTTTTAAAAAAAAAACCATTTGATCGAAAGGAAAGCTTAAACTTGCCCAAGAGAGTACCAGAAAAGTTCCAAGTATAATAATAAATGACGGGCTCTCCAAATTAGCTTGTCCAAAGATACTTTAATCCAAAGGCATATTATTAAGCCTAATTAAGCAAGCCAAGGAAAAACTGGGAACATGAATAGTCTACTTCAAGAGTATTTCTCGGGATTAGAAATGCATCTTGTGCCCTTTGGAAAAGAAACGCTTCTCTTTCAAAGAAGCATTGAAAAATCACTACGTAGTACAATTGTGGCGTCATACGTTATGCAAAGCAAGTGATATCACACGACTTGTAAATTGATTAATTCAAGTAATTTAAGTAAACAAACCACTAATTTTAAGTTATTTTTTAAAAAAAAAAAAAAAAGAAAAAAGTTCAACCAAGAAAATCAAAATTTAATTCACAACGACAAACAATAACATAATATGACAATGAATTCAATATTTACAAAAGAATCAAATACATTGCTACTTTCTTTTTTATTATGTATGTTTTACGCTTCAGACTCTTTACTTGTTGGAATTGCTAATAAAAAAGAAGAAACTAAACCCAATTCCACTCAAATATTATTCCTTGTCGAGCTTGTTAAAATTATATGTAAGCGGTAGTTTCACTTTAAATATCTTCTTCTTTTCTCCTTCTTTACTAATTAATTAATTACCTTGTAGTATCCATAATGTTTTTATCAATTGAATTAGAGTGTTTTCAATTTCCATCAGTATTGCCGATGTTATCACCTCAATATGAAAAATTAACTAATCAAAATTCAACAATTAAGATTAATCTAAAACCATTGATGAGAGCTTTAAAATCAATTTTTACATCTTCTACAACATTATTATTCGGCTTGCCAGCTTTTGCATATTTCATCAATAATAATCTATCATTTATAATATTAACAATAATGAATCCACCTACATTCACTGTCCTTGGAAATCTTAAAATTCTCACCACTGGTCTATTCTCACATATTTTTCTTAATAGGAAATTGATTCGAGTTCAATGGGCTTCATTATGTTTATTGTTTCTTGGTACAACCGTAGCTCAAATACATTTTACAAATGATGGTGCATTTGAGTTCTCAGTTTCACCATTAGGATTTCTTCTGATCATCATATTTGCTTCGATATCAGCTGGTGCATCTGTTTATACAGAGTTTGTAATGAAAGATAAATTTGGTCAAGAGTCAATGCATTTACAAAATATTAAGCTTTATTTATTTGGAATATTATTTAATGGAGGTGTTTACCACTTTAATTCCTTTTATAGTGATGGATTGTATGAACTTGATGAGGATGACAGTGATGCAATAGTAGTAAAGGGAAAAACTTTCTTTTCGTCATTATATTTAATACATTTTTTAATTATAGGAGCAGCTTGCTCAATGGGATTAATAACTTCTGCCATAATCAAATTTTCTGGTAGCATAACAAAAGTTTATGCAAATAGTATGGCAATGTTTTTCTCTTCCTTTGTAAGCTATTTCTTTATAGATGGTTATAGGCCAACAATATGGTTTTTCTTGGGTGCTATGACATGTTGTATAGCTGTACAAATGTATACAAATGGTGTAAATAATGGGGGGCATAATGGCAGTAATAAAAGTGGTGGAAAGGATGATGAAAGTAGTAATAATCATAATAGTAGTGATGCTGATTTTGTTTGTAATATTAAAGCTGCTAGTGGATCTTCAAATGATTATTTAATTAGAAAAAATAATGAAAATAAATTAAATGAAAAAGATTAATAATTTATTTTATTTTATAGTAATAAGACTAATTTATATAATAAATTTAGAATTAGATGACATAATAATTTTTTAATATATTTTATTTATAATAAATAAATAAGTTAATCAATTAATTCTGGATTGTATTTGAAAAATTAATGCTAATGTTTGATTTAATACTGATAATAAATTTAGAAATATTATAATATCAATTTTTATTTTTCTGCATAAACTTAAAAATGACTAATGAGAAATCATCAATCCAATCCAACCTTAAATATTGTATAAAAACAAATAGTTAATTGGTTAAGATCATTAAACTTGCCATATTTATCATATGTATGAACTGCATGACCATAAAATTAACTTTATTTCTACTTTTTTTACTTTAAATAGTAGATCAACAAATATAATCAATGTAGTATAATGGGCATTCGTTTTATCACATTGTGACAAAATCGATCTTTTTTATATTTGTGAAACAGGCTATTTCAATTGAAGTTAGAATAGAAAATAGTTTGTGACTGCGCACAAAAAACCATTTTATGAAACACATCTTTTTCACATTGATATATATTTTCAACTTTTCTTTACATTCTGGCAAAACCTGATCAAGTTGATCAAGTGGATTTCAATAGGTTGTATTAGAAACGAAAGTTAAAGTTTCTGTGATCTATTTAGACCTGTCAACTTGGCAACTTTTTATTTTTTTACTTTTTTATAGATTATTTTTATTATTATTATTCACAAATGGTCAAAATTTATTAGAAGCAAATGTTTAAGGCCTCTGTCATCATTTTCTTTTTTAATATTTAAGGGTAGGGGGAATCACGTGTTAATTTAATAGTAAATCCGGGGCTCAATTTTTTCAAAAATTTGAGTTTTCCCAAATTAGTAATTGTCTTAAAAGTAAAACAACGGCAAGACACGTTGAAACAACTTCAAAATTATTTATATCTAATTTTGGTGTTTCTTAACTATTTGAAAGTACTTCAAGCAAAACTTCTTAATAAAAATTTGTAAATTTCTTCAAAAAACTTAACGCGTTTCAAAATAAACATGACTTCTTCCATAGTAAACACCTGCTCATTTCTTAGTAAGCACCTGCTCATTTCCTAGTAAAAGTTACACATTCCATAATATAAAATACTTATTTGGCAAAAAATTCTCATAAAATAATAAAGTTCAATAAATATTTGATAAATTGTTATCTACTAGTAATTATTTCTACATGAAGGCTTCTTATTTTATTTTATTTTTACAATTCAAAAATGGTCAGTTGGTATAAGTCATTGACAAATTCCAAAATTATAGATATTGCTGAGGGTGCTGAAGAAATGATATATTCTTATTCTTGGGATTATTATTTATAAATAAATAAATAAATATATATATATATATATATATATATTTTAATTTTTATTATAGGAAATTTTAATGTATATTAATATTTCATAAAAATATTGATCAACATTGTACCCGACAGGCAAAAAAATTGAGCCATGATTTACTATTAAATTAACACGTGATTCCCCCTACCCTTAAACATTATCTTTTATAATCTATTTATTATTATATAGGATTTTGCATTCAAGACAACACCCTTTATAAAACTCCAAGCATTTATAATGATTAGCATGACACATATTAATGTTATACCTTCTTGTTCATCCTTTTTGATTGCAACAATCATAGTTATTATTAGATGGTGGTTTAGAACTAAACAGCAGTAAGCATTTAATTTCACTCACCTACCATAAATATCCAACCACTTGTGCTGTGTAATGTCAAATGAAAAAAGTACTTACTAAATAAAGTATGTTTTCTTAAATAAAACCTTTTCTGCTACACTAAGTAAACTCATATTTGGTATCAAAACTCTATATTACAAAAATTTCGAACAATTCAGTATGGTATTAATGGAAATATTTAGCAAATCATCCAAAAAAGCAAATTTCCAATTGAATTTTTACATGTGATAAAAGGTCAATTTTTTTTGTTGTAATGTATATTATTACCTTAATAAACGTGCTTAACATAACAGGTTGCATATATTTATAATACAGTGTCAGCATAAATTAGTTTGTGAAAATGGTTTAAAAAAGTATCTGACCACCCTGTAATTTTATCATATAAAGCACTTAATAAAGTTGACAAAATGCAAATTTAAGGCTTTACATTTTGTTGTCTATACTTGATCAAATTTTCTCAAATTTTAACCATATATCATTAATTCGTGATTCATGATACAAGTGCACAAAATTTTTGAAAATCAATTAGTAAATTGTGGGGATGTCGTATGTGAAATTGAAATTATGTGAAATTGAAATATTATGGAGTGAGGTGAAATTCTGATTGGCTAATTTGAATTTCACACATGTAAATTTGAATTTCACATATGTGAATTGCGAATTCACAT